TGGACAATTTCCATCCAGTTTCAGGGGACATGGAAGAAGAGTGGTTCTGTCACAGTTTCAGAGGGTCCTGGATGAAACAGATTATCTGGACCCTCTTCGCTCAGGTTTTACACCTGGTTATGGGACAGAGATGGCATTGGTTGCACTTGTGTATGCTGTATTTGGCAGGAACAGGATTGAAGTAATGCATTCATCCTCGCTCTTTTTGACCTCTCAGCAGCTTTAAAGCCATTTATGGCATGGGTTGAGGTGTCTGAGGAACCATCTCACCCCAATGGGATTAACCTGTCACACTCAGCAGAAAGGGTCTATTTCGAATCCCATAGGCAAAGAATTTCAGCTGGTGGGGTCCAAGAGAAGAGCCTTTTCTGATGTGATTAACTGGGTAAAAATCCCCATCCTCAAGGGGTCCATCATCTTTTAGCCTTTCTATTCATTTTTTTTTCTAATTTTAATTATTTTCTTTTTTAAACTTGTAAGTATATTACAAGTAAATATCTAGAGTCACTGAATCAGTGAGATGGGTAGCACAGAAATGCAATAAATAAAAAAATAAAATAAATGTATAAATAATTGTATGGCATACTATATACACATATTCATCTGTATATAAATTTACAGTATAAAGACTTTCCTCCCATAAAAAATATAGAAACAAAGATATTACCTTGAAAAGTGGAGAAAAACAGTAAGAGCTATATATTATGTTGGGTACACAAATTGTGTGTACATGCTTCAATTTGTCTTCCACAAAGAGAATTCTACCTTGAAAAGAAAATATTGCATAAAACATGACAGAGAACACACATTATCTGAAATGCCACTATGATTATAATATTGAAATCTAATACAAACTAAGCTCAAAGGAAGAAAATAGACAGAAGTAAAAAATAAAGGAAAAAGGTGAAAAAAGAAGAAAAATAAGAATAAAGAAAAAGAAATTTATAAAAGTGACTTGGAATCTTTATTTCAACAAGTATAAACCAATTTAGAAATTCTTCACCCTCTCTAAAATTACATTTATCTCTTAATCCTATAGCCCATTTATCTGTAAATAAATCCATAAAGCAGCATCTTTGCAGTCCTGGTCTCTCATAAAGTTCATAAAGGGTTGCTAGAAGTAATAATACATCTTATTTTACCCTTGATCAAATATACCAACTTTATATTCCTTTATTTCTAATAGTTCTAATTTTTAGTTTATTCAAATATTGTTGTAAGATTGGATTTCTCTTTATTTCTTCAGTTTCATTACACAGTCTTCTTAACAAGCCTCTTTTGTAAATCCAAAACCATTTTCTATTATAGATCTAGGGAAACATCCTTTTCTATATTATTACCTTGGCCTGTGAGGTATAAATCTACTGCTGGTATCATCTCTCTTTTGTCAGATAACTTTTGTTCCACATCTTATTTTTCTTCAATAATATATTTTAAACATAGCCCATCCATGAAGCAAACATCACTACTCACATTGTTGATATTACGGGTACTATTTTCTGATTCCATTCTCTTTTAGTATTTTTATTGTCATTACATTTTGCACAGAACTGCATATCTTTCTTTACCTAAAATCTTTAGTCTTTCTTAGGGTCCAGTTTTTCAAATCATACAATTCTTTATCTACACCTTGTAAAAACTTAAATGAAATTGATTTCCCATGAAAAGCTGTTTGTCCTTTGTAATTAATTCCATAATCTTATTCTAAAAGTTTCATTATTTCAATTTTATCCAGACCTTTAGTCTACATATTGCTTTATCAGAACAAAATATTTACCTGTTTATTTCAGATTCTTTAAATTATCATAATTAAAAAAGCAGTAGGCTCTGCTTTTGTGGAGTCGTCTTCAGTTCACCCTGTTCCCACATATGCAAAATCACTATTTTAAGTGAAAAAGGTAAGATAATTTTCTGAGCATTTTATGTCTGCTAAGATGATCTGGAGATCCCCAAATGTCAAAAAATGAAAATGAATTTGGGTACTAATGCTGGATCAAGAAAGGTATGTCATGCATGCTTAAGTTTAACAATGGCGTAGTTCTGCAAGGAAAATTATCTTTAGAAAAATTCTTTGACACACATATAACAAGCATACAGGAACTATTTTTTTCCGTTACATCTGTACTCATCATAGCACAATATATGGATTAGAGCTCTCACTATGAAGTGAGAATGAACCTTGCACCATCCATTAGAATTTTCATAAATCAAATCTGATCCCATCATTTGAGTCAATGACAAGTCAGCCTTAAATCTCAAACTGTGTGTAATCTCTCTAACCTTAAACATTTGTCCACAATAGTTGAAGACTGGATTGCTGCAATCAAATGAATCATTTTAGAGCATAAAAATAAACATTATCACTTTGTAGTAACTCAAACCAATGTCCTGTTAATCAAAACTCTGGATGAGCAAGCAAAACAAAATCTCATTGCAGATTTTCATGAAATTCAGTACCTTTTGTTATTTAGTGTATGTGTGTATGTGTTACTATACTGTAGAGTCACTCGACAGTGAAGTGGGCATCATATAAATGTAGTAAGTAAATAAATCAATAAAATATGTCACTTTGGGGTCTTTAGCTGCCTAATCCTGTTTTTTTTAGCATGGCTAACAGGAATTTTGCTCAGTGCTGCCATAGTATAAAATCCTTATATAAAATCTATAATAAGGCAATGGGAACCAATTCCCTAAACATGAGATGAAACAGTATTAAACGAACGCTTTTGTTCTCAAATATGTGCTGCTTTGGCAACTGTAAGTTGGCAAGTTTTCAGAATAAATGCTCCAGACAGATGGTTAAAGGATACATGGCTTAATACTGTGCCTATTCACTCAGAAGCAAATCCATCAGATTTGGTAAGACTTATGCTGCAATACAATGTGTTCGGGAGTATGCCGAATAGCAGCAGACTGCTATTTTTATCAACAGAATAATCTCCTTCTAGGTGTGTATTAATATCACTGTATGTAATAACAAAGGTTTCCTTAAATCCCTACTCCAGTTTCTCTGTTATTTTACAAACATATCAAAAGGAATTTAGACAAAAATTAATAGAACTGTGCAGCTAGAAGCCAAATACCTGCTGAAACTCTGATACTCATATAACTCATTTGCTGTTTTTTCTACTTAAATTGGCTGGATTGAGATGCTACGTTAATACTACCCCTGATTTAATCAAGCTTTATTGACTATATCATAAATGACTGAGTTCATACAACTTACTAAAGCCATAAACCAGAGTTTACAAACCCACAGTAAGATTCATGCATTACCTTAAGCCCAAATCAAGCAAACTAGTGTGATTTAGAACAATCTATGACTTAATGCCATTATAGCCGCAGTTGTCCTGGCAACGATGCCAAAATGGCAAAATGTGTCATGATACCAATCTAAAAGCTCGGCCCTTTTGTATTTGTGTCCCAGTATCACAGGTAATTACATAAAGAATTTAGTTTGCATTGTGATGTAAAGTTTCTGTCATTCTCCCCACCCTACCCAGATATTTATAATGATGAAAAAGAAAGAAAAAAAATATTTCTAAACAAATAGCATGTTTTCTGAGATGAAGGCTATAGGCTTAGAAAGAATAAATTTAAGAGCTTTAACCAGAATAGTTTTTGTGTTGAAAGAACAGCTGCCAATACATTAAACTTGCAGGTTTCATAATAGCCAATGGGAAAATTACAAGAAAACTTTGAGACACATGTAGAATGCTGAAACAGTCTGGCTTTGATGGATTTGGTAACCTTATTGATTTGGTATTCTGGCATCACTCTTTCTCCTCAGCTTTTCAGTTTAAAATGTAAGGATCGGTCAGAGATCTTTTTCTCATACTCTTCTTTTTTTGTGTGAATTTCTTTGTGAGCAGATGTAAGTGGAATTTCTGCACAATAACATAAAGCTTTGTTGAATCTAGAATCTATCATATATAAGTACTTTTCAAGGCAGCTATGCTGATAAATGATATAACCTGTCTAGACAATGTCTGGATTCCTGGGAACCATGGCATAAAACGCAGTGCAAAACGAGAGATTTTCAGTCCCCATACCTTCTGTTCAAGCATGTCCCAGTCTGAATCCAAGCCCATGACAAAAGGCAGTGGAAAGATATAAAATGTTATATGACAGAATTATCCTTGTTTCTTCCTACAGCAGCACACAACATACAGCATACAGCAGCAATCCGATTATTAGGTAGTCCTTGACTTATTACTGGTTGCCTAGCGGCCATTTGAAGTTCTGATGGACCTATTAGGGCAGGGCTGTCAAACTCGGGGCCCACAGTCCAGATGCATCGTGCACTGCCCATGCCCACACCCAGTTTAGCGAAGGGGGAAAAGTCACAATATATCACATGACACTGTGACGACGCAAGTTTGACCCCCTGTACTAGGGCTAGGTGCTTATGACCCAGATTCAAAGTTTGGATGGTCACCTCCCAGTCATGTGATCACATTTTCGGCAGTTGGCAACTGGGATCATTTACGGCCATTTGCAGCATCCCAAAGTTCATGGCACCACACTTTATGATGGTTTTCCAAAAACCAACATTTATTTCTGGTTTGGGGGGGAAAACAGGTAATAGAGAATTATATGTTTGCTTAATGACTGTAGGGTTCACTTAATGAACACTGCAAAAAAAGTCATAAAATCAGATCAGTCACATAACTGACCTGCTTTACAACCATTATGAGTTACAACCATTAAGGGCAGGCTCCATTACAGTTGCAACTCAAGGATTACCTATATTGGTCTTTACAAATGATTCAGCTCCCCTTTTAGCTATCAATCAATTTGGCTCAACCTTCTACATTATGTACAGAATTAAATTCAACCAATAACAATCTTTGTCACTCTGTATGACTTTTTGGAGAATGTGAGTGAACTTTAAGCACTTCCCTTGCTTATGCTAAATTTAAAAAGAAGGTCTAAAATACAAAGGGAAGAAGGCAGGCAATAAAATGCATACAAATGTTCAAATCTGTTTGCAGGTGTTTTATTGTTCTACATAAAGACTTCAAGTGACCCTTACTGTGCAGCAGAATTAGCTGGTTGATTTTGGGAAAGTTCCCATTACATAATATTTCTGTTTTGTTTTTAAAAGAAATGTGCGGCAGCTGTTATACAGGCCTCATCATTATTGTTTTCAGAATTATAAAGGAATGCTATTAATGAAATAGGCTAGATAAGATTTCATTTGTCTGGAGCAGTCCTGGTGCATAGTGGCAGATGTGTGTGAAGAAATCAAAGAGGGCAGTTACCCCAGGTGGCACCGATCTAGAATGATTTCCTTGAAAAAAGTTATTAAATGATCATGGTAATCAGAACAACAATGGAAAGATGGATGACAAGCATCAAAAGAATATAAGAAGATGCTTGAATAAGTCTGTGTTTCCACCAAGTCTTGAGGCAGCAATGATGAGATGGGAAGTTCCAACCGCAAAGCATTCTGGGAAAACAAACAAATACACTATTAGTTTACAGGATACAGAGCAGTGTATCTCAACCTTGGCAACTTTAAGCTGTGTGGACTCCAACTTGCAGAATTCCTCAGCAAAGTTGCCTGAAGAATTCTGGGAGTTGAAATCCACACAGTTTAAAGTTGCCACAATTGAGAAACACTTGTACAGGAGATAATTATTTGGAAATTTAAAAGAGACAAGTACAGCCCCAACATTTTAAAAAATAGCTGTGGGTTCTTAAAGCAATAAAAATGATTTATTTTAATAGAGCCCATTAAAGAGGGACATATTCTTTCTCAATTTTAGTGGAGGACAGGGCTGTTTTTAAACCTAAGAACGGTTCACATGCAAACAATAATTAGCATACTATTTACCATTCAATATTTAGTTTCTGATTAGCATATCTTGTGCTTCAGAATTTGAAGTTAGGGAACTCTAGCACTTTTAGAAGCAAAATACCTAAGCCTTTCTTCTCTACTTTTGTATCAGGAAGGAGAGATCTATGCTAATGATGTAACATTGCAATGGCTTCCCTGGCTTTCAGTTGTTTCATATGCAGGGTACCTACTCACTTTTTCCAAGGAACAATAAGAAGTGGCAAGTGGCCTTTATTGGCAACGGGGCAAGCAAAAAGTGTAACTCTGGCCTCAGTCTCGGGTTAATGTATATGGCCGGCAGCAGAGGGTGAGATTACAACTAGAAAATACTATAATGTGGTATATTTGGTATCCCATTAACTGGACTGCTTTAGAAGGACGGAGATTTAATGATAAACCAGACGGGTGGTGGGGAAATGCAAAGGTTCTACATCTGGAGCACACCAGGTTGAAGAAAATACTTATGAGTTCAATTTTAAGTTGAGGGTTTAGATAAAGTGTTAATGGGGCCAGAAGGATGTATTAAAGTGCCCTATTGATCAGCAGACCAAACTGCCAGTGTCAGGGAAATTGCACATAAGTGGCTAAGAATGACAAGGAAATAACTGGGGACAACTTTAGCATTTGGGAAAAAGTATCTTCCCCTCCCTCTCTCTTCTTCACCAGCTAGGAATGATTTAAGCAAGGATTGAATATGAAACTGAAGAGGAGGAAGAGGAAATCCAAGGTCTATCAGCTAGTATTGTATATCTATGGACAAAGAGGTGAATTCCTCTGGGTGATTGATTGGGTAGTAATGAAATGCTTTTTGAAATGCTTAAACTGTAGGTTGAGCTTTATTTTGAAATAAGCTCAAGTAGTACCAAACTAGGTAGATTATTAATTATCTTCTGCAGCAAAGGAAGCCAAACCCAGATCAGCAGTCTTCACCCAAAACCTTCTCACCACTTGGGACACACCTAGTATGCAACCTATTGCTAAGTCAGATAACTGAACTAGCTGTGCAGAGGAAAAACCCAACTTTAATTAAACACCAAATCTATAGCTCAAATAACGGTAAGCATTACTACAGTGGAATACAGACGTAAACCTTATCCCATAAGCTGCTATAAACTCATCAGGAAACGTGGTTTCAAGGTGCTAAATCAATTAGTAAATAACTTGTTTAAATAACTCTAATCTACAATCATTTTTTTCCCAAAGAAGAAATGTTCTTGGCTGGGTTTATATATAAATGTACACTATACCCCACAGTTGACAGACCACAGTGGAGAGCTTCAGATAATATGCCAAATGAAAACTGCACCATATTATGGGCCAGTGTGAAGCAGGCCTTAATGCATTTAATTAATCCGTGACACACTGGGACCAGAGCTGAGACAGTAGACATGATTTGACAAATATATAATAATTTAAAAATTCCCTTCTCACCCCTTTGAGTTGTTTGTATTTTCCTCAATCTGGGGTCCTCTATCAGAAGCTTGAGTACAGTACCTTAACTGTTCTTAGCATTACACTCTTCGGGCAGAGATCTCTGATGTTGTCCACAGAATCCGATGGAGCCACTCACCCAGCTTAAGAATCGCAGCTCCAAGTGCTCTTACTACCACTATGAGACCACTTTGGTCTTTATTTTCCACATCCTCTTTGTTTCTCCTTCAGGTCCTGATACTTCTCTAACATCTCATACTCCTTCTTCCTGATGTTGCTGTCACTTAATACCACTACATCTATCACCACTGGTCTGATATGCAGTGTATTAGAACCCTCAAACTCCCAGACTTCTAGTAGAGGATCTGAAATTGAAGAAGTCATATACCACTCATAGAAGTGAAAAGGGAATTTATATATCAGCACATGCTCACCTTCAGTCTAGGTGTCTGCCTTCTCAATCAGATCCAGTAGGATCTTGGTGACACTCTCTTTCATACTCCTGGGAGCTCCAAAGAATGGTATTTGTCATTGTGATTGTTTCATCTGTAGTCTCCTCCAATCCCATTTCACAGTTTATATTTCCATCTTTTTCATCTGAAGGGGTTTCTTCTGAAGGCTCCCCTGTTCCTTCTTCCGAAGTCTCCCTTGTTTCTTCTTCCGAAGGCTCCCTTGTTCCTTCTTCTGAAGGCTCCCCTGTTCCTTCTTCTGAAGGCTCTCCTGTTTCTTCTTCTGAATGCTCCCCAATTCCTTCTCCCTCACTGTTACTGCTCTCAATGGTCTCCCTTTCTTCATTTACTACAATAGCAAAAAAATCTTCACTTGTAGCACACTCCTGAGGTGATTCCTCTTCTGCTGATCTTTCCATCAGAGGTTCTTCTTTATCTTTATCTTTTTCATTGATCTGTGATACTTCTGTTATCAGCTGCTGTATCCCTATTAAGAGAGCTTCTTCTACATCTGCAAGTGTTATCATCCCTTCTCTCATCTCTTCTCCTGTGTCTGATTCATCCTGTTCCTTCTCTTCTTCAGGAGCTATGACTTCCTCCTGTACTTCCATGTAAAGAAATGTTTCCCTTGTTTCAGCTTTGTCAGATACTCCAGTTTGGAGACCAGGTTCTTTTTTCATCTCCTGCTTTTTCATATCTCCTCCAATAAATGTTTCTTTTTGTGGGGCTGATTCAGAAGTATGTTTTATTTCTGCTATAATTTCTTCTCTCCTGGTGACTAACCCTTGATCTCCAAAGGTGGTTTCATTCAGAGCTCCTATAACCACAGAAAGCACTTCTCCCTTTGCTTCTGAATCTTCTGTTTCCTGGCGTTTTGGTACAACTTTAACTTCTGCCTCCTCTTCAAACGCTTCCTCAGTCTCTGGCTTTACAGCTTTTGCCTTCTGTTCCAAGGCTACCTTGCCTTCTGCCTTCTTTTTAAGTGTCCCCTCAGCTTCTGCCTCTTCTGCTTCTAAGTCCTTTCCAGCTATTATTTCAGACTCTGCTTCCATACTTTCTCCTTTCCTCTTAAGTATCATCTCCGCTTCTGCTTCTTCAGCACCTAACTTCTCTTTAGGCACCACCTTACCTTTGGCCAATCCAGTTTCTGCCTCCCTTTTAAGCGTCCCCTCAGTTTCTGCCTCTTTGACGTCTAATTCCTCTTTAGGTATCACATCAGCCTCTTCCTCTATAATTACTGCCTTTGGTTTAAGTGTTTTCTCTATTGCTTTTTCTTTAAATGGCAACTCAGCTTCTGCTTCTTCAAATTCTAATTCCCCTTTAGATATCACCTCAGCCTCTCCAGTATCTGGCTTCCATTTCAAGGCGACCTTGCCTTCTGTCCCCTTTTTAAGTATCCCCTCAGATTCTGCCATTTTGACTTCTAATTCCCTTTCAGCTATCTTATGAGATTCTGCCTCTATAGTTTTTGCTTTTCCCTTAACTGTCAACTCAGCTTCTGCTTCTGCAACATCTAACCACCCTTCAGTTACTATCTTGTCTGGTTGTCCAGTTTCTGCCTCTTTTTTAAGTATCATTTCAGCTTCTGCTTCTTCAGCATATAACTCCTCTTTAGGTGCCATTTTAGCTTTGACCTGTCTAGTTTCTGCTTTCCATGCAACTGTCAACTCAGCTTCAGCTGCTTCAGCATCTAACTCTCCTTTAGGTCCCACCTTAGCTTTAATCTGTCCAGTCTCTGCTTTCCATGAAATTGTCACCTCAGCTTCTGCTTCTTCAGCATGTAACTTCCCTCTAGGTACCATCTTAGCTTTAATCAGTCCAGTTTCGGCCTCTCTTTCAAGTGTCACCTCAGCTTCTGCTTCTTCAGCATATAAGTCTCCTTTAGGTATCACCTTAGCTTTGACACGTCCAGTTTCTGCTTCACTTTTAAACGTCACCTCAGCTTCTGCTTGTACAGCATATAACTCCCCTTCAGGTACCACCTTAGCTTTCACACGTCCAGTTTCTGCCTCTCTTTCAAGTGCCATCTCAGGTTCTGCTTCTTCAGCATATAACTCCCCTTCTAGTCCCACCTTAACTTTTACACGTCCAGGCTCTGCTTCTCTTTCAAGTGCCATCTCAGCTTCTGCTTCT